CACTCTGGAGAATTGCTAATCTCTCTCCGTTCTATTTTATACTGATTGCGGTACCTTCTGATTCCTTTCGCAAAGAACTTGCCACTTCCTGACAATCTGTTGCTTTTTCCTGTTATGCAGTGTGGACTTCCCGAGTCAGCAGTTCCTTTTGCTGCTGCATTTTGCTGTGTCATCGTATGATGTGTCCTAATCATCACACTGTCTTTGTTAAAGGGGGGGGGGTCTTTTGCTGAGTCACGCTTCCTTCTGAGAGGCCATCACTTGGCATTGCTCCCTGCAGCTGGAATAGCCAGTCTTGGAAGGAAAGCCTAAAGCTGCTTTTCAGGTTTGCTCTGTTGTAACATAACTTCTAATGCAATTTTCACGAAAAGAAAAACACTTCCACCCTCTAAAAGGACGAATATCCTTTAAATCCCAGTGAATGGTCTGAGAATATAATATCTGATCATGTAGCAATGGGGTAGCAAAGAAGGTGTGAACCTGATCAATGCCTGGATGGGAGCTCCAAACTTTTGAAGGGGGGGAAATGGATGCAAGCATAATGGTAACAAAAGACAAAGAGATCTGCCACACAATTCAGTTAGTGATTAAGTAGGTGATATTTTCTCATTGGATTGCCATACTACCTCTCACCCCTTTTAGACTGTGCAATGTATCTGAGGAATGTTTTGCTCCAGCCAGCATGGTGTATTGGTTCACACGTCAGACTAGGACATCGGAAACCCAGGTTTGAATCCCCGTTCTGCTATGAAAGCTTACTGGGGGTGACCTTGGGGCCCGTCACACAGCCAAACCTGCTTCACAAGGTTGTTGTGAAGAGGTAAAATGGAACAAGGAGAGAATGTCATAAGCCACTTTGGGTCCTCACTGGGAAGACAGGAAGGTCAATTACCATGAAGCAAAATAAATAAAATTCTAATACTCAAAATACCCTGGCGGCAGATGAGAGTATTTATTCCAAATCTGGAAAGCTGGTTTTGTCACCAAGCCATCCAAGTTATTGTTTGGAGTGGCACAGTGAGGAGAATACCAGCACACCACGGGGCAGGGGGTACAGTTGACTCCTCCTGGCCATCACTGGTACAAGAAGCAATAGGCATCATTCCCAGACCTTCAGCTCTGCCGGGTAGGACTAAATCAAGCCTCTGATGCAATGTTTGGGCCTGGCCAGTGGTGGCACAGGAGACGACAATGAGTGTACCATTACTCTGGTAACAAAACACCTTGAAGTGGTACTGCAAGGCTCTGCCTCAGATGTATCGACCCATTGACGTTCTGTTGGTGAAAGAAAAAGGAGGCAACTGCACTCACTCCAAGAGGAATAGCTATGGTGCTGTGAGTTGCCCTGGAGCCCCACTCTGTGCTACTGTGGGTCTTTGTGACATCATAGGCTTGCATTCCCCCCACACCGCTCCTTTCCTGTCCCTACGCATTGGCTGACCACTGTGACAGTAGAAGAGCACACTGAACATCGATGCTCATAGATGGGTGACTTCACTAGACCACACAGGTGAATATGTTGTCAGAAGGTAACCTCTTTGTGATCCAGAGTTTCACATGTGGACTTCATCTCTGCAGGAGAATTCCTTTATAATAGGCCCGCACATGTGAGACTACTAAACTGTCAACAACATATTTGATACTTTATTGTACCCAAGCATGAGATGACGAGAGGCAGCAGTTTGACTCATGGTTATTAAAGGATTTCATGTGATATAAGTATTTCATCTCTCAGAATCAACACCACGATAGGACAGTGGTCCAGGCACTAGAGCGGTAAGGCTGAGTATTCGGGAATGTTCCAGTTGCTTAAAGAGAAGAAGAGTGACGTTCTAGAGGAAGCTAAGAGCTGAGTCAGCTCCAATGCAAGTTCACTGTCAGAACGTGAAGTTCCTTGAACTCTGGTCCATTTAACATTAAGTGACTTCCCATTAGATTAAACAAATGGGGGACATTCAACCTTGGCTAAGCATTTTCTTCAATTCAGTACTGGAGTGGTCCTATATCCACATTATTTAATTTATTTACTTCCATTTATACCTCACTTTTCCCTCCCGCTGGGACACAAAGCTGCTTACATGCTTCTCCTCTCCTCCATTTTATCCTCACAGCGACCCTGCGAGGAGGGTTAAACTGTGAGTGTGTGACTGGCCCAAGTTCACCAAACAAGCTTCTATTGCAGAGTGGGGATTCAAACCTGCGTCTCCCAGATCCTAGAGCAACATTCCAACCACTGCCCTACACATTAGAGCAGCCACAGGAAGCCAGTTATGTAGATGAAGAGGTTCCTAACATACCACAATTCCCATTTGATTTCTACCCACGGTCACCAACTTTTTAACTTAGCCTTCACCTATTCAGCTTCAACTGTATGTGGTTCCGCCCCTCTCCATGCCACGAAACATCCCATTTGCTGATTTTTACGAACATAAAAACGACCTTGCTGGATCAGACCAAGGGTCCATTTAGTCCAGTGTCCTCTTTCAAACAATAGACAGCCATCTGCTTTCCTCGTGGTTTATCCCATACATCTGATAATCGGGACTACTGCCTCAGAACATTTAGCCGTCTTAAGAAATAGCTGTTATTTCTGGAGATCATGTTGCAATAAAAGGTCAAATGAAGCTGGGTTTCCTTTTCTAGTCAGTTGGCAACATTATTTCTGCCTTCCTTCTGATTGCAGAAAACTTTATTTGTTGAAAATGGGCCCAGTCAGTACCACTTGGAGAAGGAGGAGGAGATTGGATTTATACCCCACACTTCACTCAGAGCGGCTTACAAACTCTCTTACAAACTCTTTTCCTTTCCCCTCCCCACAACAGACACTCTGTGAGGTAGGTGGGGCTGAGAGAGCTCTTTCAAGAACTGCTCTTTCAAGAACAGTTCTGACAGAACTATGGCTTGCCCAAGGTCATCCAGCAGGTGCAAGTGGAGGAGTGGGGAATTAAACCCTGTTCTCCCAGATTAGAGTCTGCACACTTAACCACTACACCAAACTTTGGAGGGCAGGGCTATGTGCCTTTTGTAGCTCTCTGGCCACCTGAAGTTCAATAGGTGCTTTCCTGAAATGGAGATACTGTGAGCTGATATCTTGAGGAAAGATGAGTAACAACAACTGTGCCCGTTATTTAAAACTAGATTGTCTAGAATGGCTTGTAGGTTGCCATTGTAAGCACACTTACTGGGAAGTAAGTTACATTTACTTCAGTGAGATTTTCGCAGAATTCAGAAGTCAAAAAGAAAACTGCCGTTTATTTGTGATGAGAACAAGCCATCCTAGAATTCTAGTTTGTCCACAGAAGCAAATTCTGATTTTTTGACGTGCTCAAATTCAGACCTCAGCAAGGTATAATGCCATAGAGTGCACCCTCCAAAGTAGCCATTTTGTCCAGGATAACTGATCTCTGAAGTCTGGAAATCAGTTGTAACTCCAGGAAATACCCAGGCCCCACCTGGAGGCTGGCAACCCTAGAGTGACTGGCCCATGCTCACCCAGCAAGTTCTCATGGCAGAGTCGAGATTCAAACCTGTATCTTCCAGATCCTGCCCTGACATTCTAGCCACTTGGTCACGCTGGCTGCTCCATGTGTTTGATCTTTGGCTGGGGTCTTAGCCTGTAGCTGCTCACCTGTGGCTTTGAATGAGGAGGAGGAGATTGGATTTATATCCTGCCCTCCACTACCCAAAGGTGGCTCAGAGCGGCTTACAAACTCCTTTCCCTTCCCCCTCTCCACAACAGACACCCTGTGAGGTAGGTGGGGCTGAGGCAGCTTGACAGAAACTGCTCTGTTTCAAGAACAGCTGTGCCAGAACTATGGCTTGCCCAAGGTCATCCAGCAGGTGCGAGTGGAGGAGTGGGGAATCAAACCCGGTTCTCCCAGATTAGAGTCCGCACACTTAACCACTACACCAAACTGGGCCAGCAGCAGGTCCAGTACTAGCTGAGGATGTTAGAGGGGGGGGGGAGTGGTCCTCCTGTTTGTTTATTCAAATTGTATTTTTGTATTTTGTGAACTGCTTTGGATCCATGCTGCAGGGGAAAGCAGGGAGGGGAATGCTCAAGCAAGTCTGTGTGGTGCAGTGGTTAGAGTGTCTAGAGTTGCCAACCCTGAGTTAGGAAATTCCTGGAGATGTGGGGGTGGAACCTGGGGAGATGAGGGACCCCAATGGGTACTACAGAGTCCACCCTCCAAAGCTGCCATTTTCTCCAGTGGACCCGATCTCTGTAGACCTGGAGATCAGCTGTGATTTCAGAAGATCTCCATGCTCCTTCCTGTAGCCCAACAGAGACCAGGCTCAAATCCCCACACTGCCACAGAGGTTTCAGGGTGACCTCGGGCCAGGCACTCTCTCTCAGCCTAACCACACTCACAGGGTTGTCTGCGGATAAAATGGAGGAGAGGGGAAATGATGTAAAGCTAATTGGGGTCCCCATTGGGGAGAAGGGGGGCTGTAAATGAAGTAAATAAATAAATAAATAGGATAATGATACCACCATATCTGTCTTCTTTACAGAACACATGTGGAGGGAGTCAGATAACACATTGACCTTACAGTACACACACTCAAGTATACGTGGAATCAGACTGGGGATTTTTAAAATACTTTGCACACCCAGAAACTACTGCATCTATTAACACTATAAGCAGTTTTCGCCTTCCTCGGGTCCATCGTGTTCTTCTGATATCTTGCCTTTGTATGAAAGTGACAGTATAAGTAACTACAATTTGATTGATCTGAATAATACTCCAGGCTAAAGAATAGACACTGTGACTGCAGGGAAGGAAAGGAGTTAATGAAGTTGGGCAGAGTGCCAGCATTCGCGAAGGGAGAAGTCCCTTGACATCCTGTTGTTTAGCTTAGCTGTCAAGATGCGTCAGGTGACTTTCCCTCCTCCCTCCCGGGAGGAGGAAGCAGAGGAGGAGGAGGGCAGGGTTGAGCTTCCCTCAGTGGGGAGGGGAAAGAGGCATGTTGCAAATGCCCTGCGAACTGTACACTGAGGTCAGATGGTTTCTGGGTTGGGCACGTGATCCCGGGATAAAAGTATAAAGAAAGATGCGCGCGAAGGGCTGCCTAACCCAGAAGTTTCTCAGACGCTGGAGAGACGGGAACATAGAAGGGGGGAGAATAAGAAAGGATAACCCAGAAGCCGGAGGAGTGGAAACAGAGCCATGGCAGAAAGGTAAGTGTGGGTCTGGAAAGGGAAGGGGGATAGCGTGGGCTGCTGCCTCCACAGTTCCAACAGTTTTGTGGCACCGCGAAGACTAACAGGTTCTTTGTGGCTCAGGCTTGCCAGAAGAGATGCATCAGACAACGTGGGCATTGACAAGAAAGCTTTTGGGGGCAATCAGTGTATTTGTTTTTAAGGTGCCAAGACTCTTGTTTTGGAGAGAGAACGGGAATTTGATTTTAGGGGTGGGGGTTATGAATTTGAATTGAAAATTTCCCCCCTGAAGTCTGGGACATTCCAATCCCTCGCTAGGCAAGATGCTCACCTTGCCTCTTCCCTAGAATCTTTGTTTCCACATAGACCGCCAGATTCGTCATACAGAAAAGGGACTGGAAGATGCTTCATAATAACTGGTGTGTTTCCCACAACTTTTTCTCACCTTCCCCGCCCCTTCCAGACCAACTCAAGATCTGTCTGAAGCCCTAAAGGAGGCCACCAAAGAGGTGCATGAACAGGCAGAGAACACACAGTTTATGAAGAGTTTCCAGAGAGGGCAGGTGCTGCTTCGGGAATTTAAGGTACGTGGGTCCTGGCTGGGGGGGGGGGGGGGACTGGGGAAGGGACTGCTAATGTGAACAATGGTTGTTTGCACTAGTAAACTGAACCAGTTTAAAATCCTCAAACTGGTGCAAAAAAAGTGGGTGTGGGTGTGTGATAATCTTTGTTGTTTGTCTTCTGCAATTCCATGTATTCACCAGCCTTAACCAGGTCAGTTGCACAGTGGTGTTTCGTGTGTCCCCCCTCCAATGCAGTGCATAATCTGATGGTGTTGGGGCCATTTTTGCCCCATTTGAAAGTGTCACTGAAATTAGCATAAAGGGTGAAATACACACACACACTCACTCCTTGGTATCACTGCTGTTATTCCTTTGCTGCCAAAGTGTTGGAGTCTTGTCTTGTTTTTTTTCTTGGCAACTGGTAGCTTTTACAATGCAACCCCCAAAAGGCTTTTTAAAAAATCTCTGTTACTTATTTTGGGGTCTATTTGACCCCCACACTGGATTAATAAAGTAGACTTTTTGTCTGGCCAAAGGTTTACTAAGTCAGCGAGGGAACAGTTTGAACTAATGCAGCATCCTGAACAAGAGCCTTAAATGAACAAAGTTCGAGTCCAGTGGCACCGTTAAGACCAACAAAGTTTTATTCAACTTTGTGTGCACACACACACTGAAATGGAAGTTACCAGTCCATACATGTAGGTAGAGGGTAAGCAGTAAATTAGTATACAGCATGATGAAGGTTTTTAACCAGATCCAAGGACCAAACAGGAATAACAAGCTTAGTTTATATGATTACTATTTGTTTGGGTTTAATTCCAGGGGAAAACATAGTGAAGGAAATAAATATATCAAAATTGGAGCTTGATGGACAGATGTACCTTCTTAATTGTGGAATGCTGAGAGTAATTAAATGAGGCCCTGCCATTAACCTAACTCTTAAACATGTGTTTTAAACTCCCAGTTTGAAAAATTGCACCCATATAAACCACAATTAAAGGGATTATAGTGGTTCCTCATGCATGCAGGTCAAGAGAGCATCTCGTTCAGATGATCTAGCTTGGGTGTTTCAATAATTTTCAGTGCAGTCCTAAGCACTTACAGCCTTCAAGTCCATTGAAGTCAATGAGTTTAGAAGGGTGTCACTACTTAGGATTGCAATGTTTGTCACTTATATCTTCCTGTATTGTATTATAATGGCAAAAAGCATGACCTAAATAATGTCTCCTGTGCTAGTTTCCCCTCTGATCTCCCATCCAGCCAGGTGTACACCTTCTCAACAAGGTCTCATAGTTCCAGTGGTGAAAGGGAATGCCAGAGGAGGTCCAGAAATCATCCTCATTGGTGGTCCCCTGCAAGATGAGCAAAGCATCTCTTTTCCATATTTACAGATTAAGATGTATATGGAATTGTTGCCTGTTTCCTCTGAATGAAGTTGTCTATATAGATAATTATCAGGATTTTTTTTATATGGCTGCCAATATCATCGTTATTATTTTTACTGTGACGATTGTGTTTGAATGCAACTTGGAATTCGTTAGCTCCTTCAAACATAGGCAGGATATAGATTAATATTTTTTTTAAGTAAGGTGTTCACTTATAAAGTCACATTGATTCCAAGGGGACATGATGAACTCTCACACTGACATCAGCAGGACTGGTACCAGAATCCTAAAAATAGTTTATTCTGAATAGGTCTCTCCAGGTTTTTTCTAAGCTACTTACGTACTTATGATTATACCCTTTAAAGCCTTAAAAAGGAGATATTCTGCTAAATCACAAAGAAAACCCTGAAAGCAACATGCTCCTATGAGCTGCTTGCTAGGTTTAGGGGGGTTTGGTCCAGTGGACAGTTCGGCATGTGGGAGCTGATTTCCCCTTTTCTCACTGCTTACCTCCACCCACCCCCATTGCTCTGTCCCAAGGAGCAGTGTTGGAGGCATTTGGGGCTGCAGCAGGAGGGTATGGGGAGAAAAACATCCTCTACAAAAATGCTTTCCATATGCAGAAAATACCTGTAGATCCAAGCCAGGCTTTGTAATTAATCTGTAGAATATGATTGCATAAGAAAAATTAAAAGGCCAGGAGTGGAGAAGAGTAATTTAGAAAGTGTTTGGGTTATATAGCCAGCATTAAAGAGGAAAACAAAACGGATAAAGATAAGAAGATACCCTGACAATCTGGTCTAGCTAATGCTAGTAAGTACAACAGCTCCTTGGGGGCTAGTTACATTTTATGCAGCAGCAATCCAGGTTTGCCTCCAAATGTGCACTTAATGGGAAGCTATAACCAATACTGGCTCCCCACCAAGTTCACATCTATGATACCTGTGTTTTCAAACATGTGTTTGTCATATTAATACATTACATTCTAAGTTTACACAAAAATAACTTAAGTGTACATCTTAAAACAATAGGGCTGCCAAATGCCCCCGGGGGGCGGAATTCCCCCTGCTTTCAAGCCCCGATTCCAGCTCTCGCGGAATCGGGGCCCGGGGGAACCCCCACCCCTGCGTGTGCGTCATCCGGAAGTGACGTCACACGCTAGGGGCGGGGCCACGCCATTTGAGGGGGAAACAAAGAGTTTTCCCCTCAAATGGCGTGGCCCCGCCCCCAGCGTGTGATGTCACTTCCGGATGACGCACACGCGGCGCGCACGCAAAGGACGCCGGCCGGGAGCCCACCGCTCCCGGCGAAAAATAATTTGGCAACCCTATAAAACAACCGGGCAGCATATAGCGTCCTGATCTCTGTTGCATAATGTTGGATTGTTTTGTCTCAGAGAGGAGGGCGCAACCCTCCAGCTAGTTTTCTGAATTTGAGCAAACTCTGATTTACCGAAGTGTGCTGGCACTAATCACACAAGCTAATTAAATGCTGCTAACCAGCCAAACATTCTCTGCCTCAGTCCAGTAGAACCAGTTTGAGATAATAGATAGGTGTAGGTCTGAATGGATAATGGGGTGCCAGTAAGCGGGGACACAGATTTAACAAAGTCAACAGGAAGGAATAGAGAAGCTATTTCAACAATGGTGAAAATGCTTGAGAGACAGGTTCAGGGGACCAGTTTATCACCAAGCAAGTGACGTTTTAGATTTCCATTTCCTGAAGATTTCCCTTTTTTTTTAAAGTGCCAGATTAAAAAACCCAGCCCAAATAGATGGGAGGGGAAAGCATTACAAGCATGGCATATCATAAATGACTCAGTAATCTATCTAACTCAAAACCAGTTACAGATACATACTGTAGAAGCAACAGTCATTTGGCATGGTAACGGATGACAGAGAATGTTGGCAAAATCTTTTAATGGGCAGTTAGGTCCAGTGCTCTCTCTAAGCTGTGGAGTCTTCTGAGCAAAACTTCTGCTTTGTGAGCTACTGGCATTAAAGTTGAGAGCGAGCGATTTGACTACTGCATAAATTAGTTTGCTCTGGAGCCATCCTTCCTGAGCTAAGACAAAAATGTGTGAGCCGGAGGCTAAAAAACTGTGAGCTAGCCGTCATGCAGGGGGAGAGCAGGCTTAACCCTTTGTGTAGTTTTGCAGCTGAAATTGACCCCTGCTTAACATACTCGTAAACTTGTTGGGAAGCCAAGACTGGCTGTAGCCCTATCACATGTATATTTGTTGGTATATTTGGAAGGGAAAAAGACAGACTTCCTCTTTCCTTGTCATTTCCCCTCATCTCGGATTAATAACTGCACAGGATGGTGGGTAATAGATAATTCACACACACACACCAAGACATGTACATTTTGAACCTCAGGATTCAGAACCAGCATCCAGCAACTTGAGAGCCAGTTTGGTGTAGTGGTTAAGTGCACGGACTTTAATCTGGGAGAACCGGGTTTGATTCCCCACTCCTCCACTTGCACCTGGCTGGATGACCTTGGGCAAGCTGTAGCTCTGATAAGAGCTGTTCTTGAAAAAAGAGCAGTTTCTGTCAGAGCTCTCTCAGCCCCACCTACCTCACAGGGTGTCTGTTGTGGGGAGGGTAAGGGAAAGGAGTTTGTGAGCTGCTCTGAGACACCTTTGGGTAGTGAAGGCGGGGTATAAATTCAATCTCTTTTTCTTCTTGGCTGATTCATTCGTTTACTGCCCTTGTATCCTATTCTCCCTCCAAGGAGCTCAGGGTGGCATATGTGGTTTTCCCCTCCTCCATTACTTCCTCACAATGACCCTGTGAGGTAGGTTAGGCTGATAAAGAATGACACCCCAAGGCCACCTAACATGACAAGTGGGGATTTGAAACCAGATTTCCCCAGTCCTCATCCAGCACATGACATACATTTTCAGAACTGTGAATCTGAATTTTAAATATGCTTAACCTCAGAGGCTCTAGCTCACAAACAATATATTGAAATTTGTATGACGTAATCATAAATATGATTATATATATAATGCTTCTCCTCCCACCTGGCCTTCAGATTGATGGAGAGTCACTGTCCCATTGAAACTAGTGATTTAAACTGGAGAAGTAATAGCGGTTCCTTCCCTCTCGTGTCCTGTCCTGTCCACACCCCTCCTTCATTTGCTGTAGTGAGCTAGGCTGCAGATGTTCCACATCGCACAGCACGTGGGTTGGGTACAGAGGACAGTATTTGTGGACAAAAGGAAAGGGAAGCCTTAAACTTTCCCTCTTAATGATGAGATGCATGGGAGCTTCTTATTTATTGTTGACAACAAGCCCTTATGTCAACATGAACACCCAAATGCAATCTGGGAACGTCACATGTAATTGTGGGCCTGTGCTGATGGCTGCCTAAAGATAAGTATATGAAGTAATGTAGGATGTGACCAGATAGCTGTTTGGGATAGATGTGTATTTAGTGCATGTCTGTATAAAAAAGAGGTTTACAACATGCATGGGGTGGAGAATGAGGATAAAGAGAACTCCCCACCCCCATACTAGAATTTGTACGGCACTCAATAAAGTTGATGTGCAATAGATTTGAGAGAGACAAAAGGGAGTACGTAATTACATTTGTTGCCAGTGGGTGTAGTGGTGGTCACAAGTATAGATAGCTTTAAATTGGATTAGATATTCCTGGAGGAAAGACCCATCAGTGGCTACTAGCCATAATGGTGGAAGGGAATCTCTAGATAGACCGGCAGCAAATGTTGGAATACTGGTGCTAGGAGGCAACACTGGGGGAGCATCTTGACCTCTGTGCCCTGTTTGCTGATCCTCCAGGGTGACTTTGGTCCCTGTGTGGAACAGGATGCTGGACTATATGGACTACTAGTCTGATCCAGCAGGACTCATGTCTCAGCCACACACACTGGATGCTTTTCAAGTCCTACCCATGTTTCTCTTTGCCCCATCTCTGTGCACTGAAAACACAGGCTTTGTTGAGCCAATATGGGATGAACAGGCACAGAACTGAAATAATGCTGTAGTCCATTAAAAGTCCCCCCCCCCCAACCCTGACATTTGCAGGTACCCACCTTCCTTGCACAGGCATCAAACCTAACCTGTAGAAAGCTGCTGTGTGGCTATGCCATCAGCCACAGGATTCCCACTGGGGTGCATGGCAATGCTCCCTTTAAGCTGTGGAGTCTTCTGAGCAAAAATTCTGCTTTGTGAGCTACTAGCATTAAAGTTGTGAGTGAGCGATTTGGCTGCTGCATAAATCAGTTTGCTCTGGAGCCATTCTTCCTGAGCTAAGACAAAAATGTGTGAGCCGGAGACTAAAATGTGAGCTAGCTCACACTAACTCAGCTTAGAGGGAACACTGGTGCATGGGAATTATATGGGCAGCTGGAACTTTTCTGTACCCCCAAGACTAATCATAAGAGAACTTATTTATTTACTTAGAACTTATTATTATTTATTTCAGTGGAAATGGCTGCCATGCAAGAGCTTTTTGGCTTGTCACTCTCACAGTGTTTTCTCAAAGGATTGGGCAATATTCCAGACTGTCACCTTTCCTGGAACTTCAATATTTGAAATGAATCTGTTTGCATTTTGCAACCCAATCTGAGGACTAAAAACACAATTTTGTAAAGCAGCAGTGTAGAAATAGGGGCCGTTTCCTCAGTACAGGAAAGCGTCAATGAGTAACAGAGTCTGATCTACTGACTTTCCTGGCAGCATTACATGCATTGACATGGCTGTGGATAAGGTTGCCAGGTGGCTGTGAGAAAAAATGTCCTTTAGTAGAGATTTAATGAATGGGAATGGGCAGTTGAAGCTTTTCATGGCATGGAGCTAAATAACATCAGTTTATATAATTGCTTGTAGATTGAAATATTAAAGGGACAGCTGGAGAGCCCAGTTTAAAAAATGGGAAGCCCTAGGTGTCGGGGGTCCCAAGGCAGGGTTGCCAACCTCCATGTGGTGGCTGGAGAACTCCTGGGATTACAACTAATCTCCAGGTGACAGAGATCAGTTCACCTGGAGAAAATGGCCACTTTGGAAGGGGGACTCTATGGCATCATACCTCATTGAAGTCCTGCCCCTCCCCAAACCCCTCCCTCCTCAGGCTCCTCTCCCAAAATCTCCAGGTATTTCCCAACCCAGAGCTGGCAACTCTGTCCCAGGGTGGTGGTAGTGGATGCCACTCCTGCCCATTCCCATTCCATTGTCTCCTGCTTTTGTGGCAAGGGCACATTTTTGCAACCAGGTGGGGAAGACGGCCAAATTAAATGCGGTGGTGGCAGTTCCATGAGTTTAAACATAGGACTTCTGTCCAATTGACACAGAAGGAGGGATGGGATCCAGTTTTAAGAGCCAAGGGAACATGCTCTTGAGGAGGGCAGAACCCTCCCCATAAACCCACCCCCTGCTGTCTCCAAATGTTTTTGCCTGAGCTACTATATCAAGACTTCAGACATTTGGAGAGATAAGTTTATGGGAAGGTAAACTATGGACTGTGTGAGGAGCCTTCCCTTTGAATCTGTGTGTCTGTTTACTGTTAAAATTGGACCTCTCTGCCCTTGTGTATGGGGTGGCTGTACATTTCAGTTGCTTTCCATTTTGCAGGGCAGTTTCAGGATTCAAACTCACAACCTCACAGCTACAGATCTAGGAACAGTGCAAAGCCTAAACGCATAACGGAGTTTTTATTCAGATATCGTGAACCAACCAACATTTTTTTAAATAAAATGAACACACCTGAAGTGAAAATACCTGCACAGCCAAGGCTGAAGGCTTTTTGGTATAAATGAACCACAATTTGCTGTGACATCCTAATCTGGCCACTTTTTCAGAATGGGGTTTGTTTCTCTCACAGTAATTGGGATTCTTAATCAAGATGAAACCCCACTTTGTTACAGTGCTAGAATTCAGATGTGGTTAGAGCACGCTGTGGTTAGATCAAACAATTCCCAGAATGAGGGAACCTTCAATCTTGGCTCCACACTTGAGGGCAGAAGGAAGGGCGGGTGGATGCCCAAGGATTTCAGACCCAATCATGTCAGAGACAAACTGTTTGTGGTGCTGGAAAAACAGCCTGAGTCATGTGGAAACTTTCAAGCATGGAATCTAGAAATGCAGGAAGGAGCTCTTGGGCTTAAAAAAATACTATGAAGCACAGGCAAAATCGGGAAAGGGTCTACTCCTGATCATCCGCTCAGGCTGCCATGATAAACTGAAAAATGAACTCCTTCCACATGGCTGTTGTAGAGAACAAGTCATTCCGATTACCGGTCAATACAGGTCTTTTGCCCTCATGAAAGCGCTTTTTAAAGAGCATTAAATATTCTAGAAACGTTTTTTTGTCTAATTTGGAGTCAACCAAAATGCATCGAAAAGACTCCCCTTCACTTCCCCCTTTGATTGATCCATAAATGGGCAGAAGCACTGGATAATTATACCCCAATGTAAAACAAAACAAGAATTGTTTAAGGTATGGAGAAACGAAAGAGCACCATTTGTGGGTAGTCATCTTAAGACTGAGCAGACATCGAATACTACCCCAAATGCACTACATTATCTGGAGCTAAATGAATCTGCTAAATTAGTTGTTATACACCTCTTCCTACCTGTCATTTTACTAGAATAGCGATGGTGAAATGGTAAATGTGGTAGAATACAAACTTTGCATGTGTTTAACATATACACAATAAGTACACTAATAAAGGCATGCCCTTCTCTCTGCATAGGGTTGCAACTCCAGGTTGGGAGATTCCTGGACATTTGATGGTAGAGCCTCAGAAGGGTGGGGCTTGGGGAAGCAAGTGAAAGCCGTGGGGTTTAATGCCATAGAGGCCGCCCTCTAAAGCAACCATTTTGTCCAGGGGAACTGATCTCTTTAGTCTGGTGACAGCTATAATTCTAGATCTCCAGGCCGTACCTGGAGGTTTGCAACCCTATTCTGTTTACTTCTGAAGTAAGGTGGGTGGCTGCTGGAAAAGGTGGCTGCTCTGTGGTGGTGTCCCTTTCATGGACCTTCCTCCCCACAGACATCCGCCTGGTGTCTAGTTAATCTGATTTTAGATGCTAGGTAAAGCGATTCCTTCTGGTCCAACTCTTTGACTTTGTTGCTGTTGGTTGCTGACAGTGCAATCCTAACAAAGCTTTCCTGGGAGTAAGCCCCATTAAGTAAACTTCAATAGGATTCTGAGTAGACCTGCTTAGGATTGCTCTCTATTTTTTGATGGGGGGGGGTCCCCTGCTAACTAATCCTGTTAGATATTGAATTGTAAGGCTGATTTGGTTTGATTTTTATGTGTTGTGTTACATTTTATTGGCTTTATTCCGGCTTTATGTTATTTATTGCATGCCAATGTCAGTAGTCGCTTTGTGAACTCATATGGGTAAGAGAGCAGGAAGTTTACGAAATAAATAAGTAATGCTTTTATGTAAAATGGAGGGTTAGTCCGCACGGTTAAATGGCAACCTTGAAATTAAGGCTTTCTTTTCCCCCAACTCCCACTCCCTTCCAGCTATATTTAGCTTCCCTGTACTACATCTATTCGGCTCTGGAGGAGGAAAGTGAGAGGAATAAGGACAATCCAGTCTACGCCCCTGTTTATTTCCCAGCTGAGTTGAATCGCAGTGCCGCTTTGGAGAAAGACTTGGAGTATTTCTATGGCCCCACATGGAGACGAGAGATCCAGTGCCACGAGGCGACTCAGAAGTATGTAGACAGGCTCCATCACGTTGGCCAGTATGAACCTGAGCTCCTGGTGGCTCATGCTTACACCCGCTACCTGGGAGATCTCTCTGGGGGCCAGATTCTGAGGAAGATTGCACAGAAGTCTCTTAATCTGCCCAAAACTGGAGAAGGCCTGGCTTTTTTCGACTTCCCTGGAGTCACCAACATCAGCAAGTTCAAGCAACTCTATCGCGCTCGGATGAACACGCTCCCTATGGATGCAGCTACCGAGAAGAGAATCGTTGAAGAGGCCGAGAAATCTTTCCTGCTGGATATTGAAGTGAGTAATGGCCCATCTCTTTTCTCCCATTGTGCAGGCTGCAGCTGGGTTCAAAGTCAAGATGACATTTCTGTTAATGGTTCTAGGAGACGATAAAAATTCCCAAGAGCTTCAACAAAGTTCTTCCACTGAGAAATTACTTCTGTATATTGAACTAGAGATAGTGAAATAATATCTCCGTTATGAGCAATGTTCCCTCTAAGCTGTGGAGTCTTGTGAGCAAAAATTCTACCTTGTGAGCTATTGGCATTAAAGTTGTGAGCAAGCAATTTGGCTGCTGTATGAATTAGTTTGCTCTGGAGCCATTTTCCTGAGCTAAGACAAAAATTGTGTGAGCCAGAGGCTACAAAACTGTGAGCTAGCTCACACTAACTCAGCTTAGAGGGAACACTGGTTATGAGTTATAACTGTCTTTCAGGTCTCAGAGAACACTTTCTAAGATTAAATATAAAAGAATAAGGGGGGCAGGGATGGATGGGGTAATTAAAAGGTCCCAGAAACAAGCCAAGCTGAGCAATCCCTGTGGTGCAACAAGCCAGCACTGCCGGAGGCCACCTGGCTCTGATCTGGTTAGCAGCGCTTATTAACAGTGCATCATCTTACCCACTGCCTCCTCTCAGACTGCTGCTAAATAGTTGCCGTGCAGGAGGAGGCAACAGGTGAGAAGACACTGATCATTGTTGCTCGTCAAGGGCGCCCTGCTGCACTGGCAAAGTGACTGGGGCTTAGCACTACTTGCTCCAGGCTACCCGAGGCCCTCCAGGGCAGCGGTCAACTGGTAACCTTCCCTGTAATTTATATGGCCAGTCTGATCCCTGAAGGAAGGGAAGAGATATTCCCTGTGGAAAACATGGTGGAAGTCTTCTCTGCAACACGTTAGTTTTCCAGTGGGAGAATATGCAGGCCGTTTGGGGGGTGGGGGTGGGGATGTTGGCCGAGATGGAGAAAAATCCAAATAGGAACAGTATCATAATACCTACAGAAAATATTATCACATCTTAAGACGCAATACAGAAAGTTCATTGGTGCCCAATTAAGTCCAAAAGATCTCAAGTTGCCCAAGGCATGCTGGGGGGGAAATGATGACCATTTTTCCTTTGAAAATATCAAAGCTTGCAGTTATTCATTTCAAAACTGCCTACACTTTAGATTTGTTAGAATATGCATCCTTTCTGGGATAAATGTACATACAAGTGAAAAAGAACCAAGAATGGCTGGCAAATTTTGAAAAAACAGTTGCTACCTAGATGTACTCACATACCCTCTCCTTCTTGAGAAATGAATCATGCCCTTCCCTCCCCAGCAACAGCATTCATGCATTGCAAAAGTAGGACAAAAGACTTGCCTGGATCCTTTATGTCATGTTTTCCCTTCAGATCGGGACTTCTCTGCTTCGGCAAATCAGAAAGTGGAGTACAGATTCCAAATTCCATTCAAGGAAACTTTAAATCAATAAACTTAAAGACCAAAGGCTTGCTGCACAGTGCCCCGCCAGTGATGACATGTTCAAAAGAGTGTACTGAGGGAATAGGTGCGACAAGAGACATGTGAGATGGGTGAAATACATCTAGGGTTGCCAGCCCCCATGTCCAGGTGGGGGTTCCCCCACTTCTGGGGGCTTCAATCTGCCCCCAGCCAGCTGGCTGGCAGGGGAAACCCCACCCCCAAGCCCTGCCCTCAAGAGCGGCCACCCACTCAGGCACCCCTCTCCCTCCCCTCCTTCCTGATTTAAAGGGCTTCAGCTGATCAGTGGGGACCATGTGGCCCACTCTGGAGGGACCTTTAAATCTAGCAGGAGGAAGGGAGAGGGGCGGTCGCTCAGCTCACAAAAAGAACCTTAGAAAAAGACCCCGCCTACCACCGGAACGCCCCCCCCCCAAATCCCCCTGCCGGAGTGATGAGGGGACCTGGCAATCCTACATACATCCTATGCTTCCCCCCCCCCCTCCCCAGATGACAAGATGGACAAAAACTGTTGCATCTGCATGTTGGATTCACTCTCCCCCCTGCCTCCCCCCCAAATCCAGGCAGTGTTCATTTATTTATTTATTTCAATTTATACCCCGCCCTCCCCGCTACGCGAGCTCAGGGCGGCTTACATGCAGGCTGCATCCCATGAAATTGTGCGGTATTTTATTGTAAATTCAAAACAGGTTAGTCCTTCTTTGTCATAAACTGATATGATTCCATAACAGTAGGCTAGCATGGAAACAAATTGTAATCCCATTGTTAAGAATAATAGATTATTTCATGTGGAGGAGGCCTGACTCAGAGCCCCCTTTCTCTTCTTCCAAAGCAGTGACGTTTGTATGTGCTTTTAGCTCTTCTAAGTCCTTTTCTAACCCTTCACAACTGAGTTCCCACAGGGAACTTGCAGCTGAAAGACCCTGTGGTAATCATATATTATATGTAGTGTGTAGTTTGGATCTCGAATATAGTGTACATACTGTAAATACCAAGGTTTTTTTCATTGTGTACTAGCACATTTGCAACGTCTCCCTACTGTGAGTATCAAATTCAGGTTTATCTCAGTAGGAAAGCCAGGAATATCGGAGGATTGTCTAGCTTTCCTAAAATGCTTTTTGTGAAGTTCCATTAGATCTAGAGGAATAAGTTAAAGGATGGTTCATAGTAAGAAAACTAATTTGTTTCTTTTGATGGAAGGACAGTTGTATCGGATTGTGGTCTGCATAAGTATTTGTTAATATTTCAGCATCATTTAATTCTTTTACCATTGCAGTAGAGATCCATGCCATATCTATTCTTGACCAGGAGTTATGCCTGGCCGAATAGTAGGTATAATCCATCAAAAGAAAAAAATACAAGATGGAGAATAAATGTGAACCTATTAAGAGATAAAAAAATTTGTTGAAAAAATTAATCTAGAAATTCAATAATATTTCAAAAGAAATACATCAACAGAAACATCAATCAATATCATATGGGATGCGTTCAAAGCAGTATTGAGAGGCTGGTTTATAAACCAAGAGGCTTGGAAAAGGAAGCAACAAAAGGAAAAGCTCCGAAAACTGGAAAATAAAATAAAGATAGAAGAAGATAAAATGAAGAAACTATCTAAAATAGAAAATATAAGACTAAAAATCAAACTCTTACAACATAAAATGAATACTCTATTGCTGCAAGAAATAGCCAAAAAGATAGAATATACAAAACATTTTTACTTTGAAAATGCCAACAAACCTACAAGATGGTTAGCTTACAAATTGAGAAAAGAGAGAGAAAAGAGAACTATTCTAGCTTTAATGGATGAAAACCATGAATTAAAATATAATACAGAAGACCTAAAAAAATAATACAACAATAGTACAAAAATCTCTGTGACCAAACAACCCAAAATCCACAACATATCGAAAACTACCTAATACAAAAAATACAAAAAAATTTAATGATGAACAAAGAAAAATAATGAATGATCCAATTACCCTATATGAAATAACAGAGGCGATAAGAAAACAAAAGAAGAATAAATCACCCAGCCCAGACGGAATACCAGCAGAGGTTTATCAAAAGTTTGAAGAACAAATTTTTCCAACCATTAAAGAAGTACTCCAAAAAATCCCTAGAGAAACATCCATGCCTGAATCTTGGGAAGAAGCTCTTATAACCTTGATACACGAGCCCAGAAGAGAAAGAAATACAAAATTATAGACCAATCTCTTTATTGAATGTAGATTATAAAATTTTTGCAAATATTTTGACATCAAGATTTTTAAAAGTTCTATTGCAAACTATCCACCAAAACCAAGTGGGCTTTCTTCCACAAAGACAGATGAAAACCAATATAAGAACGATTATTAATACAATAGAATACTTTGAATCTCATCCTGAGAAACAAATGGCACTAACCTTTTTGAATGCAGAAAAAGCTTTTGATAACGTCTCTTGGGCCTTCCTAAGAGCAAAACTAGAAATGTGGGATTGTGGAAATAACTTTTTGGCTATGATTTCAGCAATATATAAAAAACAACAAGCAAGAATATTAGTGAATGGTGGATTAACAAAGAAGATAGAGATACAGAAAGGTACCAGACAAGGATGCCCATTGTCACCACTACTATTCATCTTCATATTAGAAACGTTAAATGATAATATAAGACAAAATGGAAAAATAAGAGGTTTAAAAATTAGAGATGAAGAATACAAACTGCAAGCATTCGCCGACGACTTAGTTTTCATAATAGAAAGACCATTGACTTCATCTTTGCATTTATTGAAAGAAATACAAGATTACGGGAAAGTAGCAGGGCTTAGAATAAACTTCAAAAAAATGAAAATACTAACTAAAAATTGTTCGCAAGAGGTGATCAATGAACTTTAAGAAGCTACAAAACTACAAATCACAAACAAAATCAAATATTTAGGAATAACCTTAACAAGCAGAAACAATATGTTGTTGGAAAATAATTATAATAAATTAAAAGAGGAAATAAGAAAAGATTTGCACAATTTGAAAGATTTCCATTTATCCCTAATGGGAAGAATAGCTACTATCAAAATGAACATCTTACCCCGCTTTTTATTCTTAGCACAAAATTTACCAATTTTGAAGAGAACTCAATACTTTACGGAATTAGACAAAATTATAAGAAAATTTATTTGGCATCCACAAAGAGCACGAATCAAACTAAAGGTCTTACAGGACAAAAAAGAAAGAGGGGGACTAAGTTTTCCAAATTGGCATTTATATTACCAGGCAGCATCTATGGGATGGATTAAAGACTGGATACAATTAGAAAACTGGAGAATCTTGTACTTGGAAGGCCATGACTTATATATGGGGTGGCACGCGTACCTTTGGTATGGTAAAGATAAAATACATACAAATTTCCATGCCCATATTCTTAGAGCAGCATTAATAAAAGTATGGAAAGAAATAAAAGATAAACACTACATAAAAATCGCAAAATGGGTGTCACCATTAGAATCATTTATAAATCCTAAACTCATGACTAAAGAAAAAGCTGTGACATATGAGACACTGCTGGATGCTCAAAATAAATTAAGACCAATAGAAACTTTAAAAAATAAAAATATCCACCTCACTTGGTGGGAACAAATACAACTACAAGTTAGATATAATAAAGACAAAGCAGATGAATTTCAAAAATCTAAATCCGATCTTGACAAAATATGGCTTTCCTCCAATGACAAATTAATTCAAAAAATATATAATTTCCTAATAGATGAATATTTACAAGATGAAGCAATAAAAACCTCAATGATTATGTGGATGAAAGACTCGAGGATTGGGCTAAAATATGGAAAACTACAAAATTAATGAGAGCAGTAACCTTTAAATAAAACATATTTAAACTATTCCACAGATGGTACTGGACCCCAGAAAAAATAGCGAAAGCATACAAAAAATTAAGTAAAAATTGCTGGAGATGTAAAACCAATGTGGGTACTTTTTTCCACATGTGGTGGAGATGCGGGAAAATAGGCAAATTTTGGCAAACTGTAAATAATATAATAATGGAAATCTTAGAGATTAATTTAAAACCATGTCCTGAGATCTATTTGTTAAATATAATTCCAAATGAACACCAAGAAAATGACCGATACTTACTGACTTATATTCTCACAACAGCCAGAATACTAATAGCAAAACATTGGAAACAAGAAAAGATACCAAAGAGAGAAGAAATTGCTATGAAACTGTTGGAGGTGGCAGAAATGGACAAATTGAATGTAATATTACAAGGAAAAGATGATAAAATATTTCAGGAAAGTTGGTATAGGGTATATAAAAGGATAAAAGAAAACAGTAAATGATAGACTCACAAATGTTAGAAGTACATGTATATGTATATCTTAAGCAGTATATGTATGAATATACTATGTGGGGAAAAATAAAAAAGTTCAAAAAAAAGAAAAGAAAACTAATTTGTTATGCATCTTCCCAGGTGTTTGAGGAACTGCAGAGGCTGATAAGCCAAGGAAAACCATCAGCAAATGGCAGTGCTGTACTACCAAAGCTGGAGCTTCACACAAGAGGAATCAACAGACCACACAGTAAGAATTTCTAAAAGGCTTCTACTCTTTCAGTTGGATTGCTTACATCTGTCTCTTAGAACACATGACTGATCCCTTCATTTTCCTTATTTTTGTCAGTGTTTTTTTTTTAAAGTGATACTCACCGGTACTCAGTACTGGCACCTGGGGGGGGGGGGCTCTTTGAAGGTCTTAGGGGGGAATTGAGAGAAACCAGTGCAGCCTTCAATATGAGTGCTGGCACTTTTTTGGTAACAAAAAAAGCCATTCTTTTTTTGCTGGTTTGCATTTGCAGTTTGTTGGCTGACATTTTAGGGATGTGCTAAACAGATGGTTTGGTGTCCATCTATGCTGCAACTATAGATTCAGCTTATTAAGCAAAATAAGCATGTGCTTCAGGGCATCAAGGGAAGGGGGGCACCACAGATGGGGGGGTTGCTTTTATTGTTTACTGCTATTTAGTGTTAACTAAATAATTATTTTACAGTTTATACTTAATATAGTTTCCGGGTCTCGCCTGGGGGATGGCATGGAAGAAAACTGAATTTTTAATCTCTTATTTCACCTTCAGCACTTATTGGCTGCAGTCACACGCACTAAATAATTCGCTTTTGATGCACTTTCCAACTGGATTTTGCCAGTTCACACAGTAAAAATCCAATTGGAAAGTGCACTGAAAGTGGATTGGAAGTGGATTATTTAATGTGTGTGACCACAGCCATTGAGTCTTAATGCCTTGTCAGTTAAGCACTGGAACAGCCAAGGGGCATCAGTTGGCCTTAATCCGGCCCTGTATAGACTGCTTTGGAATCAATGTCAAACCATTTCAGCAGCCATGCCACCCCCCAAAGAATCCAAGGAACCATAGTTTGTTGAATATGTTGGGGAGGCTCTAACAGAGATCTCTAGACCCTTCACAAAACTATATACCATTCCTTGGCTGCGAGACATAAACAGATAGGAAACATTTACATTTGTAGTAGAGGCGAAGTAGGATTATAGATGACCAATTTTCCACAACTCACCACTTTAGCTCTTGACAGGATTATATGGAAGCCCAAGGATCTTATTTATTTATTTTTCGCATTTATACTCCACCCTCCCCGATAGGCTCAGGGCGGCTTCAAGGCAGGAGAGCTTGCCCTGGTGTAATTAGTCATCTGAGGCAACAGGAGGTGAGGTCCTTTGTAAGGACATTGGCACAACCTAGGGTTGCCAACCTCCAGGTGGCAACTGGAAACCTCCCGCTATAGTAATTGATCTCCAGACAACCAAGATCCATTCCCCTGGAGAAAATGGCTGCTTTGGAAGGTGGAAATAGCATTTTACCCTGCTGAGGTCCCTCCCCTCCCCAAATTTCACCCTCCCCAGGTTCTGCCCCCTAAATCTCCAGGTATTTCCCAACCTGGAGCTGGCAACCCTAGCACAACCATGCTGTCACAGGTTAGGCCACAGCTGCTAGCAGTGTTCCCTCTAAGCTGAGTTAGTGTGAGCTAGCTCACAGCTTTTTAGCCTCTGGCTCACACACTTCTGTCGTAGCTCAGGAAGGAGGGCTCCAGAGCAGACTAATTTACGCAGCAGCCAAATTGCTCACTCACAACTTTAATGCCAGTAGCTCAGACTCCACAGCTTGCAAGTAAAGGAAAAACTGTATCTTCAGGAGGGTGGGAGGGTCCTCCTATTTTAAGAATCTTTGGGACCTTAGTGTGACTGGCAGAGATCAACTGCACTGGTGACACCTGCCCATCTCTAGTGAAACATTTTTGTTAACCTCTCCTCTGCCTAGAAAAAAAAAACCCTTTTAAAGTTCCTCTCTTTCAGTTCCCCTACGCTGGCACCCCAGCTTCCTGGTATTTCTGCCTTGCACAGTTTGGTTATGAAATGTAGCATAAACCAGAACATTCACTTTGGTGGTTGACGTCTTTGGAAGTTCTTAGTTCCTAGTAATTTCCATTGTAAGGGTTTGTCTAGCAATGAGTTTTCCGTGCTGTTTGTGCAGCGTCGTTTATCAAGTTGATCTGTAATATTATCTTTCTGGATCATTTATCCGGCGTGGCTGCTCCTCTGGCATCCAGTAATATTATCAGTGTCACTGGAGCATCACTAACAGACTAGAAATAAAAGCTCTTCACCTGGTTTCCAGCCTGACAAGTCTTTCATTTCTGTCGATGTAGGTCCAGCTGCCACAGTGGAAAATGTGCGGACACAGATGTGGCATAAGGATATGCTGCCCAGCACACCATTCCTGCGCTGGGTTCTTGCTCTTTTCTTCTTAGGAACAGCAGTGGCTGTGGGCTTGTATGCTATGTGAACAGGAAGGACTTGAAATGGTTTTTCACCAGCATCTGCCTTTTCCAAAACTAACAGATCTTTCCCTTGCAAAGGAAAGGCCTGCTGAGATTCCTCAGCCTAGGGTGGTCTGAGCAAGACTGTTACTAACAATATAGACTATTTCATAACTGATTTTCAAAGAATGCAAACTCTTATGTTGGAAACATTTCTCTTAATCATCCTGAAATGCCATGATCTGGCATGCCTTAAAACAAGAAGATGCAAAGACAAAAAGACTGATGACTTACAAGTTGCCAGCTGAGAGAGAGAGAGAGCTGGTTCTTTGTCCAGTGTTTTCTTTTGGACCAATATCTAATGCTGAGGGGCTTGTTTCTCTTGGTACTGAGATACAGGACAGCGTTTCAACTAGTTTAAAACTGTATGTTTCTATTTTTGAAGCACGTTTCGAGTTTTGATTCAGCAATCAGCTGGGGGTGGGGTGGGGGATAAAGACAGCATCCTGATAATGCTGCTAAGATCTTGCATTTGTTATTTGTCTCTATAATTTATATGCACCACTATTAAAGCTGTGTATTACAAAAATACAACCATTAAACATTCATGGGAGTTGACCAAATGGAGTTTGTCCTTTATCAGAGCCTGGTGTTTTCTTGGTGATTGATCTGATGTTGTGCCTATGCACAATGTCACTTGCTGAGCAAACAAGAAAATAAAGAGGCATGCCAGTCACAGGAGATAAAAAATAAGGCCAAGGCCAATGGTGAAAAATCAGGTAATAATATATTTTATTACAGTTAAATTTCCGAAATTCCCTACATGTTTCATGAACAGGCTTCGTCAGGTAGATCGGTTCAACTTGCAGCAATTCTTCAAAAACAGTAAAAGAGTAGATCTTTTTTTGAAGGATTACTGCAAGATGAACAGATTCCCCTGACAAAGCATGTTGACAAAACGCGTAGGGAATTTTTGGAAATATAACAGTAATAAAATATATTGTTACCTGATTTTGCACCATCAGCCTGGGCCTAATTTTTTTACTTCTTGTGCAAAACCAGAAGTGATGTCATCGGGACAGTGTTAGAGGATTCAGCCATAATTCATGGATTCTTGTGATTCTTCAGATTCTTTTGTTTTACTGTCTGAAACCATGAAGTGCACAACTTGCCCTTTCACACACTGCATATACTGAGCTACATTTTGTTCTCTGCTTGTACAATATTAAACAATTCTATCTTTATTGCTATGTATCATTAACAAAGAAGCAAACAGGTTTAACTTTCAAGCCAGTGGGAGAAAGGCTACTGCACAGAAAACAAATATAGCTTACAGAATCTGCAGCACTGCATTATAGGGACTGCAGACTATTGGCAATGATCTGGGGTATGAGAAGTTCTATGAGTGTGTCCTTAATTTCATCTATAGTTCTAGGGTTGCCAACTCTGGATCAGGAAATTCCTGGATATTTGGGGGTGGAGCCTAGAGAGGGGAGGCTTTGGGGAGGGGATGGACCTCAGCAAGGCATAGTTCCATAGAATTCACCCTCCAGAGCAGCTACTTACTCCATGAGAACTGATCTCTGCAGTTGTCACGGAGGCCATGAAATCCTGAGCCACTCCTCACAAGACAGCCTCAGCATAAATGTTTAAGTTCCCCACTTCAAGCAGCCTAGGTGTTCTTGACTTCACCCCTGAGACAACCTCTGTCAACTCAGGCTGGGAAACCGTTAGGTGGCAGGGTAGGTGGTACACCAAGAGAAACTCAATCCTGTTTCTCAATTCCAACATTAGATACACAGCCTCTGGAAGTGTCCTGAATGGGGCACTGTGCTAGGGGGTCCTTATAGACTACAGCAACATCACCTCCCATCCCACCAAACATATACTGATGTATCACAGAGTACCTGGGGGACACAGTTGTGAGAGATTAACCCCTCTCTCCTCCCTCAGGCTAGTCTCAATGGTCCTTTCTGCATTTGCCTGCCACTCCGGATTTTTTCAGTGTTCCAATTGAGGTAATTTAAGGCTGTGGCAAAACGGCATCCAAAAAACCCAGGGCAACAGTGGGCTGAAACCAGGCCGATCACTTCGGAAACATAATGGGGGTATGGAATAAAAAGAAAGTCAAATTTGATTCTAGTACAGAATTGTTTGGAGGACTCTGTGGTGAATATAGATTAAAAGGAGAGTATGGAAAGAGCCAATGATAGACGCGAGGTCAGCCCTCTCATCCTGGATTACATCCTGAGTGGCTGCTGTTTTTCCTATGACTGACCTGGCATTTAGAAGCAGAATTTTATAGCCTGGTGGGGTTGTTGATATGGTTACCAACGTTACTTTGTCTGGAAGAATAATGGGAGTCTTTCCCTTTGAAAATATAAACACCAGCAGTTCATCAGAGCTCTCCCAAGCCCAGCAGGTGGTTAAGGTGTCAGACAGACAATCCCCACTTATTCATAATGCTCACTAACGCTGCAACCATAAACAAAATCACATCCTTCTAATCCTATTGTTTTCAATGGACTTCAAAGGATGTAATTCTGTTTAGTATTATACTGGAGGTGACATTGAGCCAAAGACAGTAGCTTAAAAGGTTTCCCTTGCTCAAAAGCCAGTCAAATCTGACTCGAGGGGTCGGTGCTCATCTCCATTTCCAAGCCGAAGAGCCAGCGCTGTCCAAAGACTTCTCCGTGGTCATGTGGCCGGCATGACTAAACACCAAGGCACACGGAACACTGTTACCTTCCCACCAAAGTGGTACCAATTTATCTACTTGCAATTTCTTGCTTTCGAACTGCCAGGTTGGCAGGAGCTGGGGCCAGAGATGGGAGCTCACTTCATCACACGGCACTAGGGTCTCGAAATGCCGAACTACAGATCTTCCAGTCTGCAGCTCAGTATCTTAACCTCTAAGCCACCGCTTAGATCCCATCAAAATTTTCCATAGGCAGCAGGATTTCCACCTGCAGAGGGAGCAAATTTCTTACCTTTGTCCTCTGGCTGTAGCCCAGAATGCCCCTAAAATGTTGTTCCCAAGAACACCACGAGGAAGGAGTTAGAGAGCTGCAGCAGGAGGGGGAAATCAGCCCCCCTGCCTCTTGTGCAGACAGATCTGTTGGATGGAATCCAACCCTGTATCTCAGCCTAACCTCCCTCACACAGGATTGTTATGAAGTTACATGTGGCGGTTGAAGAAAACTATATACAATATCACTTTGGAGAAAGGGTCATAGGCAATGTTTCCTCTAAGCCGTGGAGTTTTGTGAGCAAAAAATCTACTTTGTCAGCTGCCGGCATTAAAGTTGTGAGCAAGCGATTTGGCTGCTGCGTAAATTCGTTTGCTCCAGAGCCATCTTTCCTGAGCGAAGACAAAAATGTGTGAGCCAGAGGCTAAAAAACTGTGAGCTAGCTCACACTAACTCAGCTTAGAGGGAACACTGGTCATAGGTCATTTATTTGTAACCAATAGGTCTCAGCTTTATCAGAAGCCCATTAATCCCATACAAAACCTCCTCTAACATGGTTGTATTTCCATTTTTCTATAAATTTTGGATCACTTCCAGGGGCGGGGGGAAGATACCACTGGATTAGCATTTTGTAACAGTTCTTCCCTACGACAGAACATGAGAAGTATTTATAGATATTTCCCCAAATATTACTTGGTTACTCTGTTTCCAGATGGTTACTCCATATGCATGTATAATTCAGACTATTGTTTTTCTCCATATTTAACAATATTTGATGAGTCTAAGGCAAAGCATGTTTTGGTTTTGTCAAATTCCCCTTTAATACAGATTTAATATCTTACATAGAGAAAGGTTCTGTTTCACTGGATTCTTCTCCGGGATTTTTTTTTTTGGGGTAGTGGTGTTTAAAATATACCTTTACTGAAGCCTCTATTATTTTAAGAACATAAGAGAAGCCAATGTTGGATCAGGCCAATGACTCATCCAGTCCAACACTCTGTCACACAGTGGCCAAAAATACCAGGTGCCATCGGGAGGTCCATCAGTGGGGCCAGGACACTAGCAGCCCTCCCACTGTTGCTCCCCCCCAAGAATACAGAGCATCACTTGCCCTGGACCAAGAGTTCCTATCTATACCTTGTGGCTAATAGCCACTGATGGACCTCTGCTCCGTATGTTTATCCAATTCCCTCTTGAAACCGTCCATGTTTGTAGCCGCCGCCACCTCCTGTGGTAGTAAATTCTATGTGTTAATCACTGTTTGCTTTTTAATAGACATCTTCTTCTTCCAAATGAACTTGCTTCCTTCGGCTGCTATAGAAAAAGAATATATGAAGATCCTTAAGTAAAAAGGAAAAAAATTAAGAAAAATCCATAAATTCTTGGGCCATAAACATAAATCCTCATTCCTGTATGGGTGTAGGTATAGTTTACATTCTCATGGGTAAAATTCCTTTCTGTTTAAAGCAAGGCTTGGGCAAAGGGCACCAAATCACTCTTGGCCTTTGACTCTTAGCCTGGGCTCATACTCAAGGTCCCAGGGGCTGAGAGGAAGACCCATGGGGGGGGGGATCCATTTCCATCTTGCACCTAGAAGCCAGAATATCATTAGTCTGCGAATGGACCATGGCTGTGTCCTCTGGATGACATCAGCTTCAGTTCATCATTATTCTTAGCCTGTCAAATGCTTTTATGGTGACCTTGGGGTTGGCAAGATATCAGGTGCTGTACATTTCTTAGTCTTATTGTCCTTGGCTTATGATTGGGGCACAATGTTGGGTGAGGCGATTGCATTTGGGAGCTAGGAACTAGGTCACTGGAAAGAGAAAGTTGCCAAAGATGGCCAGCAAGACATGTCAGTGTTTGCCTTCTCATTCTGAGATCCTATTTCCTCTTCTTCATTCTCCATGTTGTGCAATGCCAGACTGTTTTGTCTCCTATTTGGGTTACTGGAGGTGGATAAAATGGATGTATTTTGGGTGACTGAGACCTGGCTGGAAGGAAAAACTGGGGCGTATCTGACTCAATTAATTCTGCCTGGCTATGCAATAAAAAAACCCTCAACCAGAAGCTGGGGAGGTGGAGTACCCGTTGTTCTCCATGAGTCTTATGATTTTTGCAGGTTACTCATGAAAACTACTGCTGGCATTGACTGTTGGGACCAAGTGATAGATTAAATGTTCTACCTGGATCACCAACTAGTTTACCAGCAGGCACCCTTCTGAGTTGGTGGCAATTGTCTTGGGCTTGGTGTTGGAGACCCCCAGATTGATTGTTCTGAGGAACCTCGAAGCTCATGCCAAGGGCACCTTGTCTGGGTTGGCCCAGGATTTCATGGCCTCCTTGGCCACCATGGGTTTCTCCCAGGTTGTAATGGGCATTACTCATGGGGGGGAAATGTACACACTGGACTTGATCTTCTGCACCAAACTTTTTTTTTTGGGGGGGGGGGTTGGTTGGTTTAGGGGCTGGAAGTTCCAGTCTGTGAAATAGTCTGGTTTCTTCAAGGCATGGGCAAATACAGCACCAGCTCTCTGCAAGGAAAGCGGACCAATTAAAATCATCAGCCCACGGAGACCTATGAGTTCAACTGGACTCCAGAATGCTCTGGAGAAATTTAGGACTCTGAACAGCAGCTCTGTTGAGACCACACTAGGAGGCTGG